GGCAGAAAGCTTCATCTTTCTCCCACGGAACGGCTGGTAGTTTCAAACTGCTGACCCTGAGGTTAGCAGCCCAATTCGTAACCTGTTGTTGTTAAGTGCCATTAAGTAGGTTCTGACTCATAGCAACCCTGTATAGGGTTTCTGAGGAGCGAATGGTGAGTTTGAACCGCCAACCTCGTGATTCAAACTGTCCTTGTGGCTCAGTGCTTATCCTACAGCACCACACCAGGACTAAATTATGTCAATTTGTTCTTGGAACTGTATTAATTTATATTCCTTCCCCTTTTTAAATACTTCCTCCCTCTTATTTTAAGCTTCTGTGACATTCTACAGTTCTCATTTTCTCTCTGTCTGCTCCTTCTCAGCCTCCTTTTCTGAGCACTTTTGCTTTTTAAATACTGGAGAGTTGTAGAGTTTTACTCTCATGTCTACTGTTTTCCTAATTGCTCTAGATTAATCCAGCCCTGGGATTTAAAATATCTACATACAGGTGAAGCCCTGGTGTTGCGCTGTGGATTCATGCCCTGGACTGCAAAGTCGGTGGTTCAAACTTACCAGCCACTCCTCAGAAACCCTACACAGGGTCACTATGGGTCAGAACCAACTCAAGGGCCATTAACAACAACAATGACAATATACAGATGGCTCCCAAATATGCATATCTACGTATTTTTATAATTAAAAAAATAAACTACACCAAAAGAAGTACTCTCATATATTGCAGCAGGAAATGAGAACTGGGACTATTTCTAGGAAGGGTAATTGGCTAATATTTGTCCAGATTAAAAAAATTAATAGTTCCACTTCTAGGAATGTGTCCAAAAACATGCTTTTGTTGGTGTTGTTTTAAGTGCCGTCGAGTCAGTTCCGACCCATAGCGACCCTGTATAGGGTTTCCGAGGAGTGCATACCTGCAAAATGGATATATTCAACATTACATATTTATAAAAGCAAAAACTAACAAACTAGCTAGAAATAATCTAAATGTCTATGAATAGGAGACTGGTCAAAAATCATTGCATATCTGTACAATAGAATACCATGAAGATTAAAAAGGAAAAGGAGAAAAGACAGGAAGCTCTTGTTGTAATGCCCTTATCCCCTCACTCATGAGCTGATATACTTTAAGGGGACAAAGCTAGGTGAAGAAAAGCATCTGTAATCTGCCAAAATTTACATGAAGAGAGGGAACTATATACAGAGTCATGTTTGTTAATTTTGTTGTTAAGTGCCTTCAAGACAGTTCTGATTCATAGTCACCCTGCAAAGGATTTCCAAGGAACAGGTAATGAGTTGGAACCAAAGACCTTGAGGTTCAACTTGGGCCTATCCCACAGCGCCACACCAGGACTCCATGTTTATTTATATATGCATTGAATTAATTGGTTCTTGGAAGATAAGCAAGAAATTACTACTAGGAGTTGCCTGTCAGGGGTAGGACAGAAGTTAGAAAGACATTTTTGTATTTTGAAAAATTTTCTTGAAAAACATAAAAGACACGTCCAAGGGGAGGCAAAAGCTAACCAAGACAAATAAATCTCATAAAAATAACAACCACAAAACTCTGCTAGAAATAAGGCATTTTGTCTTAAGATGAAAAGCAAACAAACTCAAATCTATTGATGTCAAGTCAGTTCTGACTCATAATGATCCCATGTATTTAAAGAGAGTACAGTGAGCTCCTTAGGTTTTCCTGACTATAAACTTTATGGAAGCAGACCATCAGGAAGGTAGATTTCCAGGCTACAGGGTGGGTTCAAACCAGCAACTTTTAGTTAAGTGTAAACCATTTGCTCTCCTCAGGGACTTCATCAAATTGCCTAAAAACTGTCATTTTTTTAAAGACATGACTGTTTACTACCATTTCAGTTCAGTACGTTTTCTTTTGAATTGCATTACCTTTATGTATCTGTTTTCATTCATTAAATGGTAAAATAAGGACATGATACATTGACATATGCAATTTGTTTGAAGAAAAAAATATTTACCAAATCTTTATGTAAGTGTGAAAGTCACTTATTTGATGGTTTTCTTAGCTTCGGTAAGCTAAGACTGCCCTCTAGTGTCTGGTGGGGTCAAGGATGCAGTATTTAGAAAAAAAGAAAACACTTTAGTAGTCTGTTTTAGGATAAGCATTAGACTGCTAACCTCAAGGCCGACAGTTCAAACTCACTACTAGCTCTGCTGGAGAACGATGAGGTTTTCTATTCCCATAAAAGTTTATAGCCATGGAAACCCTGTACAGAGTCGCTGTGAGTCAGAACCGACATGCCAGCATTTAACTCAAATCTATAAAATCCACTGCCCTCTAGTGGATTCCAACTCAATAGCAACACTAGGACAGAGTAGACCTGCTCCTTAGGGTTTCCAAGACTGTATATCTCGGAAACGCATGTCAGTTTGTCTTACTGTGGTGGCTTGCATGTTGCTGTGATTCTGGAAGCTATGCTGTTGGTATTTTAAATGCCAGCAGGATCCATCATGGTAGACAGATTTCAACCGAGCTCCAGACTAAACCAGACTGAAAAGAAGAGAGACAGACTACTTCCGAATATTCAGAACACTTGTCAAATAGTACCAGAATAACAAATATTGAAACATGATGAAGAGTACCAAAATATTGTAAGATAACAAGCCCCTCAGGTTAGAAGACACTCAAAGTATGAACTGGAGAAGGTCTGCCTCCTCAAAGTAGAGTTGGCTGTGATAAGGTGACTGGAGTAAAGCATTCAGGACCTTCATTTGCTGATGGGACACAACCCAAAATGAGAAGAAACAGCTGTAAACAGCCAATAATAATTGGAACATGGAATGTATGAATTTAGGAAAATTGAAAGTTGTCCAAATGAAATGGAACGCATAAGCATAGATATCCTAGGCATTAGTGAGCTGAACTGGACAGGTATTGGCCATTTTGAATCTGACAATCACTTGATTTACAGTTTGAAGTACTTTTAATATTCTTCTCTAACATCATAACTCAAACCCATACTTCTATGATCTTCCTTACTCAGTGTCCAACTTCCACATGCATATGAGGTTACTGAAATTATCATGGCTTGGCGAGGCACACCTTGGTTCTCAAATTGACATGTTTGTTCTTGAACACTTTAAAGAAGTCAGTGCTGCAGATTTGCTTAGTGCAATACGTCATTTGATTTTTTGATTGCTGCTTCTGTGGGTGTTAATAGTTGATACAAGCAAAATGAAGTCTTTGACAACTTTTATCTTTTCTCCAGTTTTCTTGATGTTATTTATTGGTCCAGTGGTAAGGATTTTTGTTTTCTTTACATTGAGGTGCAACCCATTTGGAAGGTTATGGTCTTTGATCTTCATCAGTTAGTATTTTAAATCCTCTTTGCTTTCAGCAAGCAAGGTTGCATCATCTGCATATCTCAGGTTGTTAATGAGTCTTCCTCCAATCCTGATGCCACTTTCTTTTTCACATAATCCAGCTTCTTATTTGCTCAGCATACAGATTGAAGATGTATGGTGAAAGAATATAACCCTGGTGTACACCTTCCCTGATTTTAGACCATTCAGTATGCCCTTGTTTTGTTCTAATGATTGCCTTTTGGTCTATGTGTAGGTTTCTTATGAGAACAAGTAAATGTTCTGGAATACTCATTCTTCACAATGCTATCCATAGCTCATGATCCACACAATCTAAAGCCTTAGTAATAGTCAATATAGCACAAATAAACATTTTTTCTGATCTTCTCTACTTTTAGCCAAGATTCATCTGACATCAGCAATGATATCCCTTATGTCGCATGCTCTTCTGAATCCAGCTTGAATTTCTGCCAGCTTCCTGTTGGTGTACTGTTGGAGCTGTTTTTGAATTATCTTCAGCAAAAGACAATAATTACCTTCTAGTCAATGATTTACCTTCACTTCCCTTTCCACATCTGGTAACCATAAAAAAAATGTTTTATTATGAAAACCTTTTCTTGACTTTTTACAGTAGCAATCTCATACAATATTTGTCCTTTTATGACTGACTAGTTTCACTCAGGAGTCCTGGTGTGGCTCTGTGGGTTAATTGCTGGACTGCAAAGTTGGTTTGAACCACAAGGTGGGCAATTCAAGCTTACCAGCTGCTCCTCAGAAACCCTATACAGGGTTACTATGGGTTGGAACTGACTTAGCAACAACAATTTCCCTCAGAACTCCAGGTGTGGTGCTGTAGGATAAGCACTGGACTGCAAACCACAAGCACAGCGGTTCAAACCCACCAACCGCTCCTCGGAAACCCTATACAGGGTCGCTATGGGTTAGAATCGACTCGACGGCACTTAACAACATATATATATATATATATATATACATATATATACACACATATATATACATATATATACACATATATATACATATATATATATATATACATATATAACATACTCAACGCAAACCCCACAATGCCTCCAAGACGCTCTTTCCTGCCGCCCTCCAGCTCTCTCACTACTTGTTCTTTCATGATGACATTCTTGTTGTTGTTGTTGTCAGGTGCCATCGAGTCGGAACCAACCGACTCATAGCGACCCCATGCACAGCAGAACGAAACATTCTTAGCATTGCCTTTATTGCTCAACTGAACCCCACAACTCAGAGATGAATCAGAGATAGTGGAGAAGTTGATTTCTTCATTTTGAAGGAGAGTTCCTTCCCAAAATCTAAAATCCCGCATTAGAATTCCTTCTGCGCGTTCTCAAGCCCCGACTGGTGAGAAGTGGCTTCCAAGCAAATCTCAGTTTCAGAATCAGAAAGCAAAAAGCAGCTCGCCGCCCGCCCTTTTCCTCCTACAAGCGCCGTTTTTTTCCGTTTGAATACTGTTCATCACTTATTATTCTTTTCAGTCCAGAGTTGGGTGACTGTGAACTTCTGTCCTTCCCGTAACAAGCTACGTACGCCCTGGCAGAGGAGAAAAAGGGCGCGACCGGGGAGGCGGACAAAGTTCCGCCCGGGAGTCGTAGGTTTCGTTTCCCCTAGCAGCGAGGATGGCCAGAGAATGTGCGGAGCCCGGCGTCCCGCGCCTCTGCTCTGGTGAGTCCAGGGGTCTAAGGCAGGAGTGGAGGGAGAATCCGGAGTTTATAGGACAGAGCGGAGGCGGCTGGAGGCCGCCGGGGGAGGGCTTCGCACCGCGGGGACCTCGGAGGGCTGGTGAGGGAGGGGCAGCCCGACTTGATCCTACACCCAAACTCTGAACCCTAGCCTTGGAAGAAAGAGGGGTTTGGCTCCATCTCGCCTTGTAATCATACATAAATGCCTAGGAACAAACCTGTTGTTGTTAACGTGCCCTGGAGTCGATTCCGACTTAGCAACCCGATGTCAACAGAACGAAACACTGCGTGGCCCTGGCCATCCTCACAATTATTATTAAATAATTCACAACGTATACCATATCTCATTTATAAAATTCTCACTTTAAAGTGTACAATTTAGTGGCTTTTAGAATAGTTACCTGGCTGTTCCATCATCCCCACTATCCAGTCAGGACGATGTTAAAGGATATATGTTGAGAGAGGGCTTCATGGGAAAGAGGGAATGAAAAGACACTGGAATGTTCCCTTGAACTTTTTGAAGCTCCTTGGTGTGAAAAGAGGTCTGATGATGGGTCAGAAGACAGAGGTGAGGGAGGAGAGAAGTAAAAAGCGTTGTTACTAGCCTTCAAGTGTGTACATGTATGGGTTATTATTACAAACAAAATCTGTTTAGTGTCTGATAGCAGTGGTTGGCTTCAGGAAATTTCTATCAATAATGTACGTATTTTAGTCTCCTTGTTAAGTGCCATCCAGTCAGTTCTGACTCTTAGTGATCCTGTGTAGGGTTTCCAAGGTGCATGCAGCCTGGTGCGTTTGAGCCAATAACCTTTAAGTTAGCAGTTCAGTGCTTATCCTAAAGCGCCACATTAGGACTCCTTATTCTTGTTACAGTTGTTAAGTTCCATCGAGTCGCGTCTGACTCATAGCGACCCTGTGTAGGGTTTCTGAGGAGCACCTGGTGGGTTTGAACCATCGACTTTATGGTTCGCAGTCCAGTGCCACAGCAGGGCAGAGTAAAACGGTCCCACAGGGTTTCCATGGGCTGCTAACCACAAGGTCCTCGGTTCAAGCTCATTGCCTGCCCAGTGGAAGACAGATGAGGCTGTATGGTCCCTTAAAGATTTAGTCTTGGGAAACTCTTAAAGAGCGGTTCTACTCTGCCCTACAGTGTCGCGATAAGTCAGAATTGTTTCAATGGCAGTGGGTTGATGGTTGGTCGGTATAGGGTTTCTGAGGCTGTAAATTTTGCAGAAGCAGACTGGCACATCGTTCTCCCTAGGACCGGCTGGTGAGTCCAAATCGCCCATCTTTCAGTTTACAGCCGAGTGCTCCTGGTGTGGCGCTCGACTGCTTACAGTTGCTGGGTCCCACCAACAGCTCTCTAGGAGTAGGAACCGACTGGACGTCACTTAACAACAACACTGTGCCAGAAGGCATCTCCTAACTCACTTTGTTTTTGTTAAGTGCTGTCCGGTCAGTTCCGACTCACAGGGTTCCGGAGGAGAGACTTCCGAGTTTCAACCGCTGACCTTGCAGTTTATACCGTCCTTGTTGTGGTCGAGTACTTGCCCTACAGCGCCACACCAGCACTCCCTAACCTTCCTGGAGAGGCCTAATGATCCGCTCCAATGGTCTATACAGTCCCTGGAACATTCCTTACGTAACCACAAGAGTGTAGCTCCGCCCTATGAGCTCAGGATTGGTTTAAAGTTACTGTCGCCTGCCCTAGCGGGTTTGAGGTGAATTTAACAGAGATAAGGATGGCAAGCGTCCTGCTGTTCCTTTTCGGGGCCGCCTTTCTCACAACTTTGTGAACTGTAGCTAGTGAGTGGAGTTCCTAGCTCTTTTCGGCGGAGGCCCGGGAGGGTTTCTTTGAATGTCCAGGGAGTATCTCTTCAGTGGAGCGGATCGCTGATGTGATGACTGTGGACGACGGTGGGTCTGCAAGCGACCCCTTATCACCGCACCGCATTGGGCTTTTCTGATTCTTTTCGGGGATCTTGAGGATCTCGCATCCACACCCCGTCCCCATGCCCCACACCTTTTCTGATGTCCAGGCTGCACCTGCGCCCCCTTCAGGGTCTCCGTGCCTTCACCCCCGCTTGCTTTTCAGACTGCCCAGTCATCTGTACCCTGGGGGTACTGGCCTCTCTTGCGTTGTTCCCTTAAATGACCTGCAAGACCCCTGGCGGTTTCACCTTGTGTGCGGAGATGCTCTTAGGCGCTCGGCCTTGCATTCCGCTCCACTCCCCAAACACCAGCATCCCCCTTCCCCACTCTCGGCACTCGTATCTGTTGAGCCTTTGAGACAGAAGCTCAGCTCCCTTTCCAAGTGTATCCGCAGGTAACAAGAAGGATCGCTGTGCAACTTCACTCACCCATGTCTCAGTGGAGGGAGTGGGACTCCATTACAAGGACTGTAGCTCATCTTAGGGCCTCAGCCAGGAACCATCCTTCCTCCAGCTGTGTGGACAGACTCACACTGAGGGAGGTTAGAATCTGAAGACTTCTCTGGTCTGGACCTTCACTTTCCCTAGACTTCCTGTTCCTCTGGGTACTTCTCTCCTCCTGATTCTTCCTCATCACCCGAAGATGAATTATGATTTTCTCATATGCTGTGTCCCAACACCAGTATCTTGCATCACCCCTTCCCCATATCTGGGAACCCCCCTTGCCCTTCCATCTCTTTGCTGTCTCCTACTTTCTCCAGTTCTGTGATCTGTTTCTAGGGAGTCCTCACTCTCATCTCCTACCCTTTCCTCTCTCTTCTAATGGGCCAGCTGCTGTTTCCACTCCCTGCCTCCTTTCTCTCACCTGACTTTCTTGTGGTACCCTTAGTCCCCCACTCATCTGAGCCTTCACCACGGGGAACCCTCAACTAACAATTATCTTGGGCCTTAAGAACATAAACCTCTTCCCATTTATTTTTTTCTAAAATATTTTCTTGTGAATTGAGTTAAGGTTTACAGAGCAGATCATTAGTTTTATATTGAACAAATCATATACTTGGTTTTATCCCTCCACATAACTCTGGTAGCATACTGGTTATGAATTGGGCTGCGAACCTTAAGGTCAGCGGTTTGAAACTACCAGCTCTTCCGCGGGAGAAAGATGAGGCTTTCTGCTCCCGTAAAGATTTACAGCCTTGGAAACCCTGTTCAGGGTCGCTGGCTGAGTCGGACTCCATGGCACATAACAACAGTTATTCCACTTTCTCCCAGTGTTACTTGTTTCCATTCCTCCTTGTTTCCTCACCTTCTGAACTCTGACCTTAGGTAAATGCTGCCCTTTTGACCTGAAATGGTTGGCCATTCTATAGTTTGCTTACCTCACTGGTGTTATTGTCCCTGTGGTGCTGAGGGTTAATGCACTACACTGCAAGGTCTGTTTGAACCTCAAGGTCGGCGGTTCAAGCTCACCAGCCACTCCTCAGAAACCCTATACAGGGTCTCTGAGTCGGAACTACTTGAAGACCCTTAACAACAAAAACATATGCCTGTCTAGAATCCTTGTGTGGCACTGTGGGATAAGTACTAGTCATAACTGCAAGGTGTAAGGGATTCAAATCCACCAGCTGGGAACCCTGCCAAGTGTAATTATGAGTCAGAAGTGACTCTAAGGCACTTAGCAACAACAACAAAAATATATACATATCTGTCGTTTGGCTAAAAATTAAGTCATCATTCTCCCCATTTCTTGACATTCTCCAACATCTCCCTCTTCCCAGTGCTGTCCCTCTCCATCATGGGATTTGGTCCAGTACACCTCTTCTCCAACTTTTCAACTTAAATTAAATCCTTTATTGCCTCCTCTCTTCACTCTTAACACTCTGGAGCCCTCTTTCCTGGTCTCTCTGCACCTCTACCTCAATCCCTGGGACCTTGTCACCTGTCTAGGATCTTGATAAGTTGTTATCTTTCACAAATCCCACCCCCCACGGAGCCCAGCAATCACCCCTCACACACACAAGGTCCTCACTTCCTCTCCTGATATCACTGTAACCCACCCACGTTCATGCCTGCCCATGCCCCCCGTGGTGAATCCTGGGCCCCACCATCTCCCCTGTTTCTCTTACCTTCCTACTTTTCCTCTTGCCCAGACTCCACACTGTGTTTGGTCCATCTGCCCAACTCCTTGGTCTTCACTCTCCGCTTTTACTTTCCTGACACCAGAGAGCTCTCTTTGCCTCATACCACTAACCTAAATCCGTTTTCCCACTCCGCTGGCTCTGGTCTTCCCTCAGCACTGCCCTTTCATCTGTGATGGCTTTCTAACTCTAACCCTTGTGTGGCTATGACCTGTCCACTCCCGATAATACACTTCCCCCTCCATAGGCACACACCTGTATCACTCCCATCTTTGGGACATCACAACAACAGAACAGTCTGTGAAGCGTTTTTTTGAGATGCAGTCATTTCTAAGGAGAAGTTTCTTCCTCCCCCAGGACTCCACAGTCTTCCTTATAACACTACAGTAGTCTCCCAGGAGGGATCTGGGCAACCTCGATTCCTCACCGAGGGGCATTTCAATGGAAAGCCCTTCCTGTACTATGACAGTGAAAACGGCCAGGCAGAACCTTGGGGACCATGGGCAGAAACCCACCTGGGAGCTGAGAATGACTCTGGCAGAAATCTTAGTCCTTCAGGGCCAGCAAGACAGTGAGAGTGGGAGGGGACAGCAGGGTGTAATAGGTTTGACACAGGAACAGATAAGGGGAGACCCATCTCTTTCCACAGATTTGGCTGGGGATGCGGGTGACAGGGATGAGGTCTGTGGAAGTCAGCTAGTAGAAGAGCCATCTCTCAGTCAGCCCCAGGGGTAAAATGGAGGGGAGCAGGAAGGGGCTCTCTGGACTGCAGTTTCTCACCATGTGTGGGGAAGAAGGAGGAACCCAGAGATGGAGAAGTGACTTCTAGGTGGGGGCAGGCTTGCACTCCTTCCAGGAGAAACTGGGCTGTGAGATCCAAGAAGACAGCTATCTCAGGGGCTTCTGGAATTACTCCTATGACGGGGAGCCCTTCTTCTCCTATGACCTGGAGACCCAGGCATGGACAGTGTTCAGGCCCTCAGCCCAGACCTTGGCAATGACAACCAAAAAGACCTGGGATGCACGTAGGGACAAACACAAGGATTAAGTAACTGTGTGCAGAGAGATATTTGTGGGAAATTACAGAAATATCTAAAATCCTGGAAGAACTTCAAAAATCAAATAGACACTCACCCTAAGCCAGGTCCTTCATCTCTCCACCATCCCTTTTCCCTTTCACTTTACCTTCTGATGGAAGCCCTCCCTTCTATGGGATCTATATATGCTCTGTTGGCATTTTGTATTCTGAGTTCACTCTCCTGTTAAAGCTACACATGGGAGTGGGGAACGACTTGTCAGTGTCTACATCAGGAAAACAGGGGGTCCCAGAATGCCAACTGAACCTAGAAGGTGTGGGGTCTTAGGAAGGAGAAGCCCTGGACATACCCCCATCTGATTCCCACCTTGCCTCAGCCTGGTGCGTTCCCCTTAGTTCCCATGACTCATGAGCCCTCCCAGCCACCTCCTCTCCCCAGCAAGACCCCATCCTCCTACCAGCCTAAGGGATTGGGGTTCCATGGCCCCAAACAGCCTGTGAGCAACATGGAGCTAGAGGGCTGGTAGGTGAAAGTTGCTCAGCCCCAAGCAGGAAAGGTGGAGAAGACCCGCCCTGTTCTGTCTCCCTTAGACTTGGGGGCAGAGCTTGGCCAAGTGCCTCACTGGTTCTGCCCTCTCCCCAGGGCGTGACCTGTATGGTAGGAATGTGACCTCCGAGACTTGGGTGACACAAAGATTCCCCAAGGAGAGGAGCAGCGGTCTAGCTCCCGTGTGGAACACATTGGGAAGAACCGTTTACATCATGTTACCTATGGTGATTGCCAGCAATCATGGAGAGGATGTGACCCTGGTAGTTAGGGGTCAGAGTGAACCGATAGAAGGCACACGGGTGTGTCTAAGGCTCAGTGTATAAGTTAATTTTTCAGGAGGGTCTTTGGTACGAGAGTTCATGGGTGATCATTCTTTGTACTGTTGTTGTTGCTAATATATTATTGTTCCTGCCATCTGTTGGTATAAATAAGAAGGAAACATCAGACGTGGAAAGGTCAGGTGAAAAAAAATGTGCACAGTGAGTGGGGTGGGGTGGCTCTGCTGGAAGTGGACCCCTTTAAGTCTCCTGCACCAGAAGGAGGCAGCAACCACAATTGCAATGCACAGCTGGCTTCCCAGTCTCTGCTGTCAGCTCCTGAGTGCACTGGTTCACCTGGGGGAACACTGACGTTGGTAATTATTATAAAAAATTATTATTGTCATTTGTCATCAAGTCTAATCTGACTCATGGCAAGCCTGTGTGTCCAGAGTAGAATTGCTCTAAGGTTTTCAAGGTTGTGACCTTTCAGAGGAGTTCTGGTATGGCCCTGTGATAAGCACTGTATTGCTAACCAAAAGGTCAGCGGTTCAAACCTACCAACCCCTCCTCAGAAACCATATACAGGGTCACTATGAGTCAAAACAGACTTGTTGGCACTTAACAACAACAACGTCCCAGAAGTGCATCATTCACCCTGTCTTCTTAGGTGCCTCTGAGTGAGTTCAAAGTACCAACGTTGTGGATAGTAGTTGAGCCGTTCCGTTCATAGTTTCTCTTTCTGTTAAGGCTCCTTCTGAGCAGCCTATTACAGGCTACTCTGAACCCTGAGTACTGTTACTCCTGATCACACTCATGCATTAATTTGTACCATGTCTATGTGATTCTCTCTTGTGAATGTTTAAATGTTCTTTAAATAACAAACTCGCTTCTGTGTTTTACTTCCTATCGCTGGGAGGGGGCAGAGTGTGGTGTTTAGGAAGAAGAGATATGTCTCAATTCCTTGACACAGGGCTGAGAAATCCCCCTTCCCCTTGACTGACAGAATCGCTGCAAAGGAGAAAGGGTTGGGATAGGATAGATGGGCTATTCTGGGGCCAAAATTGGGGAGCTGTCCTTGGGGGAAAGGGAGCACCCTGAAGAGGTGGAGCCCTCATGTGATGGAGCAGAGCTGTATGATCTCAAGGGAGAAGGATGTCCTGATTCTGAAAAATAGAATCAGTGTGTTTCTGGGCTGACTGAAATGGCTGGGGAGATGTGGATTGAGTTAGGGACAGAACAAATGGGCACAGAATGTGAGTCAGGAAATCGGGCATCACAATGTCTCCTACCATCCAGTGCAGAGAGATTTAAGCAAGGGAAATGGAGGTGAGGTGTTCCCCCACCTATTGCACCTCTAGCTGTACCCAGGTAAGGCAGTGGAAGCAGAGTCTGAGAGTCTCTCCCAAGCTGACTTCTGACAGAGGAGGGAGCCTGGAGTTGATGTCACTCAGATGTGTGAAGGCATGTTATTCACTGAAGGATTCTTACATTAAGTCAGACTTCAAGGTTGTACTCAAGCATCCACATTTTCATACTCATTCATTCATTGTTTTGTCTTTATTTTAATCAAAGTTATGGAAGGGTCAATATTTACTGAAGATTTCTCCTAAAAAACAGTCCTCTCAATTAGACTTTCTAGAGGTGACCACTTTCAATTCTTTTAGCTGATCCTTTGGACTTAAACTTCTATGTATACTTCCAGGCATTTACCAGTGCTTCTGTGGTTTTCAGTTGTACCCACTGTCTGTTGCATTGCTCAGTAGATAGTTACTGTTTTCTTTCACTCTTCCTATTCCTGCATCTTCCCAACATATTCATATCATGTTTATGTTTAGGTAAGTAGTTCAATGTTTTCCTTTCTCATGACTTTTTTTTTTTTTTTTTTAAGTTTTTATTATGAATTGAGCAAAAGTTTACAGGGCAGATCATCAGTTTTACATTCAACAAATCTTACAGTCTATTTCATTATAATGATTATAATCCCTCTATTCATTTTAGCTCCTTTTTAATGATTTTATTTTTTTAATGCTCAGGCATATACTTCTTGATGCTAGCTCTCAGTTCCTCTCTTTCCATGAATCTAGAGTCCTCAGCTGCTCCCTCTCTCCATGTCCTCATCTCTGGTGTCTCTGCTTCTCTGCATAAGACCCCGCATTCCGCTTGTGCTCTTCTTCCTTGATGATCCTAGGGCTCTCATGACTTTTTGCTTGATTATTTTCTGTGTGTTAAGTGCCGTCCAGTCGATTCCTACCCATAGCGACCCTGTATAGGGTTTCCAAAGAGCAGCTGGTGAGTTTGAACCACCAACATTGTAGTTCAAACAACTTTGCAGTCTGATGCATTAGCCCAGTGCCACACCAGGACTCCAGGATTTTCTGTGTTATTGTGATGTGCCGTGGAGTCGGTTCAGACTCATAGCGACCCTGTACAGGGTTTCCAAGGCTGTAAATCTTTATGGGAGCAGAAAGCCTCATCTTTCTCCTGCGGAACAGCTGGTAGTTTCAAACTGCTGACCGTGAGGTTCACGCTACAGAGATCCTTAGCTTCCAGATTTGTAACCACTATGCTACCAGAGATCCTTAGCTTAGGATTTTCTGTGTTGTTGTTGTGTGCCGTGGAGTCGGTTCCGACTCATAGTGACCCTACACAGGGTTTCCGAGGCTGTAAATCTTTACGGGAGCAGACCGCCTCATCTTTCTCCCATGGAGCGGCTGGTAGTTTCGAACTGCTGACCTTGCAGCTCACAGCCCGATTCGTAACCACTACGCTACCAGAGTTTAGGATTTTCTGTGTAGCTCTTAGTAATTCAACTTCATTATTTATTTATTTATTTCTCTGTGGGTGACTCTTTCTAGAAGATTGGATACTTATTTTCAGTATTCTATAAATGTTACCTCCTTGGAAATATCCTTCCTGTTCTCTCTTATGTTCTTTCATCTTGACTGGAGACTTCCGCACCTGGACCAGAGCCTCCATCCTAGAATGTTCCTCCACCACCACCTGGGCCAGTGCTTTTATGTCATCGGGGGATGGTACTAAATTGTAGATTGATTCAAAATGTTCAGAGAGGGGCTGTGAGCCTGCTTTTCCAACCAGTTTTAGGTGATGCTGGTACTGCTGGCGTGTGAACCCCATATGGATTAGCAAGCATCTATCCTTGTTTGTGTTCTTCATTATGTCTAGTTTTCTGTATCCTATGTTGTTCTTTTCCTTTTCACATTTTATTAGAATTAATATTTTAGTAGTACAAAAGAGAAATTTTTCTAAATCTTTGATGAAGAGTAAAATGCCTGAGTCAAATCCAGGTTTATGCTACTTTCAGCAAAATTAGGTCAGACTTTTCACAGATGTCTGTCCTTGGTTCCTTATCTGGTTGTTGTTGTTAAGTGCCATCAAGTCGGTTCCAACTCATAGTGACCCTGTATAGAGTTTTCAAGGAGCGACTGGTGAGTTTGAACCACTGACCTTGTGGTCCAGTGCTTTATCCCATAGCACCACATCTGGTTGTTGTTGTTAAGTGCCACACCAGGACTCCCCACGTCTGGTTTAACAACCATAAATACCTAAGGGAATGTTTTCTCTGCAGTCAAGCCAAAATGTGGAAGGAATACACCTAAAGAAAGGGGTTTTGACCCAGATGCATTGGTGTAAATGACTTTAAGAAATATTCTTTTCATGATAAGGACATAGAAACAGCTTCCAGAAGAACTCTTGGGTTTGTTCTTAAGTGCCCATCGAGTTGGTTCCAACCTATATTGACCCTCTATAGGGTTTCCAAGGAGTGGCTGGTGAGCATGAACCGCCGACCTTGCAGTTCAAACTGACTTTATAGTCCAGCGCATTAACCTATAACACCACACCATGGTGCCAAAACCTTGGCTAGCCAACTTGTTATCTAAGTTTCCTAGGCAACCAAGAAAGTTTCCCTTGGTCAACAATATTCTAATTCTTTCCTTATTTGCATTAATTCTTATCACCAGCTCAGGTCCCAAGAAATGTTTTACATCAGCTTAGATTTTTTTTTTTTATTGCCTGTTTTGGAAAATGTACATGTTAATCATCCTGTGACTATGATTGTAAATCTTTGTAACCCTACTAAGCATAGCTAAGCATTTATATTCAATGGAAACCTCTCCCAGTTTCTTTAAACTTTCTTTTTGTGCCTTCAGTAAAAACTAACCAATCAATGATTTTATTGTAATCTCTTCATTTCTTGCCCTATACCATTCCTGTTTGGAGCTGTCACAACAAAACAGCTCTGTGTTTTGGTGGCATCCGCCCACGCCCACTTTTAGAATGACTGGAACGCAGAAGCATCCCCCCTCTCTGGATTCAGGCTCCTTCTGACTCACAGTCACCTGCCTCACACACCCAGTCCTGAGACCCCCTTTTCTCCACATACCTTGGATTCCTGTGGGCAGTGTTCCTCCATGGACCCCGCTCCTCCTGAGTCATCGGCCGGTGTCGTCTCGGCTCCACGCCCGCCGCCTGTAGAGCTTTCCGGACCAGCTGACCAGTGTCCCAGCGCGGGGGGCGATCAGGTTCCGCAGGCACCATGAGCCAAGACGCCGAGGTGGACATGAAGGAGGTAGAGCTGAACGAGTTGGAGCCGGAGAAGCAGCCGATGAACGCCGCTTCGGGGGCGGCAGTGGCCATGGCCGTGTCCAGCGGCGCCGAGAAAAACGGTCTAGTTTAGATCAAGGTGGCCGACGATGAGGAGACAGCTGCGGCTAAGTTCACGGGCCTGTCCAAGGAGGAGCTGCTGAAGGTGGCCGGTAGCCCCGGTTGGGTGCGCACCCGCTGGGCACTGCTGGTGCTCTTCTGGCTCGGCATGTTGGCG